AATATTTTGAATAATAATAACTAAGAATAACTAAATAATGTTTAATAAAATCTATACTAAAAATCTACTTTGTAACACTAATAATCTTTTATTAAAATTAAACTATTAGTAAAACAGAATATAATAATATATCTTTAATATTTAAAGCTACTTTTAAAAAATTTTTAAACAATTAGCTACACCAGATACTACTAAGCTAACTTGGAAGATTTTATTAACTACTATTCTATAATAGAATATTGCTAATTTAATGATATTTTTTTATAGAAAAATAAAAAAATTAATTGATAATCCTTTAATGAACTGAAGAATTATCATAGTAAAATGCAACTCAATTCTATATATAAATCTCTTAAGATAGAAATGTGATGTTCGTCCAAGGAAAATTTTTTTTACTAAATAAATCACTTTTGGACTTTTAACAAAAGTTATAAAGCTCATTAAGATGCATTTAATGGTGATAAGAATATTAAAATTAGCTTAGTGGTTTTTAAAAAATCTTTAAAAAACATTTTACTAACTATATAAAAATCTTCTTTCAAAAAATCGATTTTCTTTAAAGAAATTTTATATGTTAGTAAAATGTTTTTTAAAGATTTCTTAAGAACTACAAAGCCAATTTTAACATTTTTACTACTATTAGATGCTCTTGATAAGCTTTACAACTTTTGGTAAAAGCTCAAAGATGATTTACTTAATAAGAAAAAGTTTTCCTTAAACAAATACTATATTTCTTTAAAAATCTTGGATGTTCTATAGAATAGATGGGCAAACTCTGCCAACTCCGCAACTTTGATATTAAAAAATTAATGATTACTAATCATTAGCGAAGCTTATTTCTTATATTGCCCACCTTTTCTATAGAACATCCAAAATCTTTACATTTCCGTCTATATAATTTACTTATAAAACCACATTGTATTATACTATAAGAATTCTTCAGTTCTTGGTTTAGGCCGCAGATTATATGTCTGAGTCTTTATTCTTCATATGTAATTTAAAAGTAAGCTTTTCTTTGTAAAAACTTCAATTAAATTTCAATAAAGTTAAAGGCATGGCCTCACCATTAATATTTAAAAAAAAAAAAAAAGAATTCTTCAGTTCACTGAAAAATCATCTATTAATACTAATACTAATTATAAAAAAATATAAGAAAAAGTAATAAAAAAAAAGAATCTGATAGTTATAATTATAAACCTATATTAGACTTTAAAAAATTATATATTACAAAATAAAGAAGCTCTATATTTAACTAGAACTCCAAAATATGTATAGAGAGGTAAGATTTTATAAAAATTATTAAATATAAAAAGATTTAAAAAAAAAGTCAAAAATAAACAAACTAATTACTATAAATAAAAATAATCTGTACAAAAAAAATCAAAAATAAACAAACTCAAATTTGACTTATCTATATATATTTCAAAATTCTTTTTGTATTCAAGATATGTAATTTACTATCTTACATATTTGTTACCATTTATCTAATTTGAAATATAAATAATGTTATATTTTGATATATATAATATCAAACTTTTGAAGAAGATAAACTAAAATACTCACTTTTACAAAAATTTCTCAAAAAAAAGTAGTAGGCCAACAAAATTATATAAGATTCTTTGTAAGTTTTATAATTATATAAACATTTTTTTAGACTTCTACTATCTTAGCAAACTTATTTTAGAATAAACCTTCTAGTTTGAATGCCAAATATCTTAAAAAGTCTACTAAAATCAAAAAAGCTTGACTTTAAAAAAAACCATCTAAATTATATCTGTTTCTTAATGTTTTACATCTTTTAGGCTTTATCAACAACAATCTACTTGAAAATCTTATTCCCAAAATAAACCTTCTAGTTTGGATGCCAAATATTTTGAAGAATTTGTCTACTGCCAAGAAAACTTAACTCCAAGAAAGACCATCTAAATTATATCCACTTTTTGGTATTTCATATCTTTCAGGCTTTGTTGACAACAAGGTACTCCAGATAAAACTAAGAATAGTATTCATCTTGAATGTTCATATAGCATTTCTGTAGTTTGGTTTTTATTGTTATTAACCAAGGGATTATCAGAGAGAGTTTTAGATTTCCTATAACTTCTTTTTAAAATATTTTTTATTTTTTTATAAAAAATAAAAATTTGATTATCGATAAATTTTTTAGTTTTAATTCTAAAGATTTCTAGAATTAAAATCAAAAATTTCGATATAAATTTGATTGATGCATGATCTATATATTAGATTTAAAATTAAAACTAAAACAAATTAAATCAAACTTTCTATCATCCAAGTCTATTGAGACATGTTTTATTGTGGGCTTTTTAGAAGTATCACTTTTACCCTGTGACGGTTTCTAAGTAAGTTAACCAAACCGTTGTGGAAATTGAACATTGAAAAATGAAAAGACCACGCCTATGCTGCACGTATGGGAAACCAGAACACTATAGTTGTGGTTCAAAGATTTGGTATTGAGAAGAAGGCCCTTGAACAAGTGTAAAATATGTGATGACTTGAAAACCATTTTGGCAGACGTGAGATTAGTACATAAAGGGTGTTCTCAAGCAGCATGCTCGATGTGATTAGCTAGTGATTGAGATAGTGCTCAACCATTATAGCGACCATTGTTGATGATCAATAGTATGGATAATAGTAGAATTGAATTATGATCGTGTTGATGCTCACTAAATATCAGATATTATAGGACTACATATGTACACATATCTTTGATTGAAGACAGAAATATGATACTGTACTTTCAAACATCTTCGCTGGCAAATATGGAAAAGATTTATAAGGTTTATCAGTTTAAAAAAATTGAAAAATCAAGGTTTCAAGCACTTTAATGATATGGATATACTGAAAAACTTCCGTCACTTTTAGAAGAACTATGTTTATTAAACACGAACATTAGCACCTATTCGTGTAATATGTTATTATAAAAATTTATTTAATATTTGGAGCCGCTTTTGCATTTCTTGTCAAGATTTAGAACGCACATACTAAACACATCAAACATGCCAGACAAGTATTCAAACGAAAAAAATTGATATTATTGTTATAACGATCTGTCAAACAATCATTAAGAATACAAAAATAACTTTTATTATATCAGCTGAAAAATCATTCGAAAACAGCTATAAATAAATGTGCCAGCTTAAACTAACTTACTTGAGTCATCAGCTCGAGCCGGCTCGGCTTGGCTTTTTGAGCCAAGCCGAGCTTGCTTAAGCCGATTCCATCCCTAGTTCATATGGTGAATGTCGTGATGTGGGTTGCTTCGGAGAATTTTGTTGTGACGTTGTAGAAGACTGCGTGGAGGAAGTAGGATAGGGTGTATGTATTTGAATATTAGAAGAGCTACTTGTGTATCGATCAGAAGTGTTTATGGGAGCCAATGAAGGTAAGGACGCTGCTGGACGTGATGCGGCTGGAACTATGGGTCCACTGGAATAAGTAGACGGTGGAATTGCTGCTTGAGTTGAAGTAATTGTTGATGAACGTGCAGAGTCTTGTGGTTGCGATACTGTAGGTGGATGTGCAGCTTTAGTACTTGCAGAACTTGAACTAGTGGCAATGTTTTGTCCATAACTCTCATGAGATGGATATCCCATTTCATGTTGATATCGGGGATGACCATACAGGTCATGCCGTGGTGGATATTCATGTGGACGGCCTGGATGGGGATAAAAATGAGCAAAGGCGGATGGTGGAGCACCATACATACGAGGTGGTGGAACGTTGGCAACACCACGTTCGGCAGTAGATTGAGATTGATGTTGTTCAGTAGATAAAAGATCTTGAATAGGAATTTTTGAAGGGTTCTGTCCATGCTGACTCGAAGCAGGATCACTTTGTCCATAATCCTGTTTCGGAGGGGGATGAAGAGGGCCCATAGGTGGTGGAGGATATACAGGATAATAATCAGGATACGGATACATTGGAGGACCATGCATTGGTACTGGCGGGCCATTTCCACGATAAGGAGAAGACAATGATTCAGTGCTATGTTTCGTCGGTGTACGATCACCATAATGATGCCATGGACGTGGAGAATATGGATTTGATGGATCATATCCGTAAGGTCTTACAGCACCTGAAGATTCGTTCGAAGGATGAGGTATTCTTGGCGGTGGATCGTAATATCCCGGTTGACCTGGATACATTGGAGGTCTACCATATGCGGGCGGAGGAGGATATGGATAACGATGATGGTCCGAACCATCTGGCAATGGAGGCGGGTAATAATACGGATGATAACCATATCTTCTATCATACGGATCATAATAGGGGTAATGCGGATCACCCATATATTCTCGGTCGTGCCATGGTGGAAGGGGTCGATGCAAAGGATATCCATGCCCGTATATGGCGGCGTTATGATCATAATGACCATACGGATCATAAGGACCTCGATGACGGGAAGATGGTGGACTTTTTCTTCCGTGATCCCTTCGCCTTTCTAATGATTCTGGACTTCTTCTTGAACGTGAATCTTCTATAGATCGCGTACGATCCGTTATTTCCGTTTCTGACGATTCGTGGCTATCATCATCGTATTTACCGTCGCCACGTGCACGTTTCAATCTACTGCCATCTGCGTCTTCAATTTGTTCTAATTCCTTTCTTTTGACTAACCGTCTGCTTGTAATAGTTACACAAAAATGATGATAAAAGTCACGTTAGTGTAGCAAGAAAATTAAAAACATAGATATAGGAGAGAAAATCAAATAACCTTCTTATTCTTATCTCTTTTCTGATTCGGATTTTCAAACCTTGGTCAGCAAAAGATCTTGACAAAAACGTCGACTCTATTGCAAATAATAATAAATAAATAAATTATCACTGGTAAAATTCATATAAACATACCTTCCATTCCAGGAAATCTTTTTGCAGAATATACGACAAAAACTTCGGAAAAGATTGATTTACAATGAAATACTTCGCGTCTATAATCAAGTATAATAAAGTACATGTTATAACAATTCAAGAATATAAAAATAAAATATTTGATACTTACGCAACTATTTCAAATAGACTTAGTTTAAGACGATAAGTCCCTTCCATACGCACGGACAAATCTGGAAATACGAAAAATCCGGCATCCGAATTATCGACATCTTTAAGATGGTATAGAGAAGAAACGACAGAACCGGTTGTAGAACGTGTTTTGCCATCGCGAAGTAAGTGCAATTCTTCATTTGTATCAGGTGCCACAAGGGATGCATACATAAAGAAATAAGGATTCTGGAGAAATGAACTATTAGATAAAGAAAAATAAAATTGTTAGAACAATCTATCAAGTGAGATGGCACATAAATTTCAATAAATTATTACTTCTTTTCGGATTGAGGTAGACTATCATCATAAACTTTTAATTGAATTATTGGAGGTGGATCTATAGGGCGTCTGTCAGCTAACGTAAAATAATAAATAGACGAGTATAAAATTTATTATTATTATTTATTATTATAATATATTGAAAAGTTCAGATCTTAATCATGTGATATCAAAGTAAATGACGCAATTCACGTATCGATAGAAAGGTCACATCTTTAAAGATCCGCGGCATTACCGAAGGTTGCATGATGATGTATTCCAAATTTCCAGATTTAGACGCGTATGACACAAGTCATGTCATTTAACCGATTTTCAATTATTTAAATGCATTAACAGCGAACAGTGGTGGTTTGATAAAGCACGTGAATTCCAAGCGGATAACAATTTTCAATTTCTTTGGTAGCAATCATCGAAGAAGGAAGGCAAACGATATGTAAAAAGTGCTTTATGTATGATAACGAAATTCCCACCATATTTGATAACCACTTTCCAAGAATATGAAGAACAAATGTGGAGGCTTACCTTTCTCACCAATACCACACATTCTTGATTGTTTCGGTTGTTGCCTGAGAATTAACTCATACCGACTAATTTATCAGGACATTAAAATAATAAATAATAATACTTTGAAAGAATATCAGCCAAGGATAACATCACGCATATATGTATGAAAGTTCATGGCAAGTTCATGTCGTTAACAATTAATTAGAGCGAGACAATATACTTACATATTCTGTCTATCATCTCTACGCTGTCGTACCGGTGCAAATTGATAAGATACATTATCGTCCATCTATTTTATCCTTTACTATTAAAAAGGGAAAATTTAAAGGATGCGAAAACAAGAAGGATTTTTCTTTCAAAAACCTAGGTATAACTAGGTAAGCAGTGTATAAATATCTTCGTTAAAACTTTTTTTTTTTTTTTTTTTTATAAAAAGGTTAAAAAAGGGTACCGTGTGTTATAGGGTCAAATTTAAGAGCTAGGTAGTTTAAGAAAATCCAGGAATATACTTGGATTTTTTTTTTATTCTTTAAAATTATATATCAACTTGTAAATTTTTTCTTTTATTTGGGTTTGGGGTAAATAGCGGTACCGGAGCACCGTAACAAAAAACAAAAAATGAATTCTTTATATAGTGTATACAAAAAAAAGGAGGGTGGTTATAACGAAGTGAAAAAAATTAATAAACCGGGGAATAGGGTGCAAATCCGAAAAAATTAATCTAAAAGATTTTTAATGGATTTATACGTATATGCAAAACTGTGTTGGACCAACTCAGAAGAATATTATATAATATCAGAGTATTTGGAAAGGTCTATTTATTATTAATATTTTTTGTGGTTCAAACAAATTGAAGCCATTTATCCCCAATGATATTTTTTTTTATATTTTATCTGAAAGTTACACGGATAATATCAAAGTCCAGGAAAGAAGGTTGTACGAAAGTCCAAGCCAAAGTGTGCCCAGGTTACGGGACGGCTACCATGTAACAAATTTATAATAATTGATAATCAGGCAAATGACACGACAAAGAAATTGACAAAAAAGGTTAAGTACATTATTTTAACGTTACTTTCCCGAAAATGTGGCGATGGTTCATCTGTTAATTTTTACAGTATTTTGGTATTGCACAATTATACAATATTTCGATATATACATGTACGGTAATATAAATAAAAGATCAAGGAGAAATGGGATGTGATACCAACAATTAATAGAATTCGTTTATATTGTTGTCTGTTTGGGGTGATTATACAGGCAATATAATATTTAATAATTATATAACGATAAATAAAGATTTTTATGTATTAGCGATATCCTCGTAATATAGTATTATTAACCCACCCTGAAACTAATACGGAACATGAGCATTGGATTTGTATGGTAAAATAATCACCCAGAACATTAAATACCTACAGTACATATGTTACAATTTTCCAGTCATTCAAAAAAGTTAACGTTCCTGATTTGCAAATATATTAAATTTAGTTGGTTAATGGAATGCAAAATTATATGCATTATACTGCATTAATACGATTAAATACTCGTGGCTTTTGATTTTTGTATATCCAAAAAGATACTTTAAACAATGGGTGTTGGAACAGTAAATGAGTAAGTATTTGACCGGTGCTAATCACTTATGGAAGAAATTTCGATTTACCGTACCTATGTACATACGTATGTACATACGTTCGTATTTTTAGTTTGCGGTTAGAGCTATGTTAGGAAACCCAGCGCCGCAAGTTCACGATATATTACTTTAGACCCCATTTTTTTCTTAATTGGCTTCGTCAAATTGATTTTCGGCATGCATTTTTTTAAGTACGCCTCTTACAAACATGCGTTCTCTAGGAATGGTTCATAAAATGAAAACACGTATACGTACAATTATTACTTGGGTTCATTTTTCTTACACCAGTTTAAAAATGAAGGTAATTCTTACAACAGAAAGGGATAAGTTTTATATGTTTTTAACGCTGAGACCTTATTCGTACGTTGAATATTCTGACCTGATTGATTATATTCTTTTCATAGTCACATGCTTATTTATCTTCATGCATACAGACGTAACGGACGTAACTTACTTTCTTTCCTATAGCATTATAATCAATTTAGAATAGTCTTGCTTCTCATTTGTGGTCATTAGATAACTAATTAGGCATAGTATACATGAATGGAGGATATTGAGTTATCCCTTGCAGTGTTTGGATTAGACATAGAACCAATGATCCAATTGCAAGCACTGATCTTTTACTTGGCAATTGCCATTAAACTGACCAATTCTATCATAAATAACTTTTTTGGGGTTTACACCAAATGGTGTCGAAACTTTGATAATGGGCATAAAGTTCATTCAACACTTCTTTGGTTAAACTATCATCTAATCATGACTATATTGAACTGTGTCGTTATTTGATCTATTCCATAGTACTAAACTTTAGGCCTCATCAATTAGTCCAAGCTTTCTACGTAGTCTGAACGGGCCTGTTCCAAAAATTTCTAATTCGGATCTTATCCGTTTAAAGAATTTTGCATCTAGATGTTCGTATAGCTTGCACAAATCCAAAGTTTACTTTTAAAAAAAAAAATCCTGAATTTCAAGTTCATGTCTTAATATGATTTAGATGATTTACTAAATAACGAATCATTTCTTCGAGAACCAAAAAAGCTTCTGTGATTAGAATTATTAATAAGAAGTTCATTATCGAAAAATTTATTACCGTTTCGAGCTAGACTTCTCTATATCAAAATTTAACGACTCTTCAATACGAATTATATCATAAATGCTTTTTTTTTCTTATACCGGAATTCTCCGTACGTACAGTACGTATTCATCTTATAATCAAGCCAGATCTGCTTTGAAACTAAAATTGGTATGTTCTGTATGGTATTTTCTGTATATACGTCATGAAAAAACATAACGAATTTAAATTTGACCTTCATTCAGGCAATGCAAGCCACAATTCGGCATGGCATACGTACTACATAACATTACATAGGCAAAGGATTTCATATCAGCCCAATAATCTGCGAGTGTAAGCATTCAAAATTTGGAACATCTTGTTTAAAGACATCCTAAACCAGTATAATTTATAATAACATGGGCATTAAAGTTGCAATTGAAAAAAAAGTCATCAACCTCCCTAATTTATATATCGTCTAGTTAACAGCACTGATCATAGTTTCAAATTCCTTTAACCTTCACTCTAATTTATAGCCTTCTGAATTATCAGCCTTCTATATCATCAAAATGTTCTTTTCATAAGTTGATAACAAGGTGCGTAAAAATTATTCGGAGTTGGCACAGATCGGTTAATATCATTCTTGACCAGACCAGCAAACTTGACCAGTCTGGTACGTACGTACCTACGTACATGTAAAAGCTTGTAACTGGTAAAAATTTGATCGTTCTAGACTATATTAGTGTAACTAATCTATTAAATTAAAAAGACCATTTGACTAGACTCATGGCTGTTTCGACTAACAATATATACCATATATTAGTGATTCACAATTAATTAACGGATTCGGTTCCCAAAGAATCTTTAGCTGTTCTCATAAATTCTGTGACAAATTAAAAATTTGCTCGTTACCCGAACCTTTTCGGCTTCGTCCTGTAAATTACCTATCCTTCCGAGAATTGCATCGCTGTCTCTGGACTGAAGGTTCAAAGATAGCGATGTAGCTTCCGTAAAGTTAGGTAATTTACAAAACGAAATCGAAAAGATTTCGGGTAACGATTAAATTTTAATTTGTCCTTTTAATTTGTCCCAGAATTTACGAGAACAGCTGTAATCCAGTGTTTTATATTTTGATGTCCGCAGCTTTTTTGCTGTCCGAAAATAATTTTAATCTTAATAGCTTAAGCAGTTATAATGAAACTTTTGCATTATTCGATATCAAATCGTCACTCATTATGTATTTTTTTTGCATTATGTATTCACTCTTATTATTTCTTAGATTTACTCGAGGAAAATTAAAAATTCTTTCTACCTACGTTCGTACAATAATAGTGATAAAAATGGGTGCGCTCCAAATTTCCGAAATTTAAAATTCTGACAGTTCATTATCTGCTAGCAGCGCAGTAAGTTTTTCTGTGAATCTATATATGTTAAGATAGAGGTAAAAGATATAGAAAGAACTTTATTTTTGTAATTGTCAAATTATTAAACTGTCGGGGATTTTAATAAAATTATGCAGTCTCTAATAAATTTATTGCTTCACAATCTAATTATAGATTTAATATTTTTCATGACACATATATAAAATATTTATACACGTTTTATGCTGTTATTAAAATCGAAAACAAAAATGATCTTATTTGATATTGCGAGCACAAAACATTTTAGTAAAAAATAGGGAGAAATGATGATGACTAATTAAACTGC